AAACACGTGACTCAGTGAATACATGTCGTTGATTGAGTCTCATTAATGTTCATTGGTTTTTTTTCGGCGGAGAATGAGCCGATAATGGGTTGAATAGGCAGAGAATGTAAAGAGTTGGGCAAACAGATCAGCACGTGACAATTTTTGAGACGATTTCAGAACCAACAACATATGCAAATTCTGATAAATTAAACTGATCCCAAATCTTGCAAAAACGATTTCGCTGAAACCCTCAAACTATTCGCGTTTTGCAAGGGCAGTTTAACCAATAAAAAAGGCGAGGTACAACCGTGACTTTTTCAAAATTGCCCAAAAATGGACATTTTTATTGCCCACGGGAGAATTCTTGTTGTGTTGTAGAAGGCATGTCCCAGGCACGTTCAAGAAATTTCTCGTTTAAAAAAAGACGCAAACTGTAAACATTTTTATCAAATCAGCACTTGTTCTTGACCTAAAAATAGAAACTGTGGTAAAAATAACTCCTTGTCTCACGAAAATATCTACAGTCTCCCGAAGTAAAGCTGAACTTTGTAAACATGTCCAAAAAAAGTTTCCCGATCATTGGCTTCAACTTGTTGGCCAAAAAAAGTAATTTAAAGTTCTCGGGGATTGATGGAAAGCGGGGTTACATCCATGTTAAAATGCCCTTAATTAGAGAGCCATGTCAACACCCCCACGCTGAATCGAACTAAAACGACGTCAAGCTTCTTCTCCCCCAACTCTTTATACCCCTGGGGCGTCCAAATTCCCGAATAATCGCCGGATTCAAAGACCGTGGGATGCGGCGGATCCATGACAAAGAAAAAGAACTCCAAAAAAACAGATTGGGCCCATAGAGATCTTTTGTCATTGGCCGAAGGATGCACTGTGCACGCAGGTAAACAAGTTCGGGGACATGCTCGGGAAGTGTAATAACGTTTGGGAAGGTAATTGGGAGTAAACAAGGACATCAGCATGGAAATAGGTTGTTTTGGAGGGCAGTTTGTGAAGGTAATTGTCTGAGGACAAAGCTATTTATTTATGCGTCATGCGTACTCGTTGAGTACAACGTCATGGTGCATATAAAATAGGTAAAATACTGCCATGCAATGCAGAGCTAGTTTTTTTTTAAAATTTTGCCTCTGCATACATATAGCGGATTAATCTTTAAAAATTCTGGCTCACAATTTACAGAGACAACCGAAATTTCCAATGATCTTTACAAATGAGAGTGAAAAGCGCTTCAGCACAAGGCTGGAATCCGTCATCAACATTGAATCACAGTTGTACACATTCTCTCCAAAATGGCCCTACATCAACATGAAGTATAATATCTAATACCCTCCCTAAAAGGCGGCCCAAACCAGTTTTTAAAGCGATGATGACAAAAGTCTACGCAACAAAAAACCCGCAAATTCTCATCATACCCTGGCACATTTACAAGTTTGCGTCATGGGACGAATATATAGCCAAATAATCGTAAACCTATGAGGCATATTACTCGAAATGGCCGCTGATTTTGACAGTTCCAAATGCAAAGACCATCAAATGACCAAGGGCAAGGAGAACATCCTTGTCTGGGAGGAGATAAAATAGAATTATTGGGATGTTATGAACAGATGGCCATGACATTCCATGTACAATATCTCAAATCTGTTGTGGAAAACAAGCCGGAACAATGTAATCAATAGAATTTAGAAGTTTTTGGGCGGCTTTTTACGGAAGGTCACAAGATCAGAAAGACAATGCCAGTTCCTTTTACGTTCAATAAAGTATGCAACAAAAGTCGTAACTTTTAATTCTAACGGGGGAATGTGAAGCATATTCTGTTGGACAATGAAAACAAACAAAAGTACAACACTCTAATGCATATCCAATATTTTTAACGCCGTCGCAGAATCAAAGGCGTTTGATTCACAAGTTCGATGCAATTCTTATATCCCAGTCAGTAATTCCAAGTCTTTCCGAAGGAAAGACTGGTAAGCCCATTTTACCGTTAATCGTAAACATCTTCCCATTATGCTAATATTAAGAAGCTGAAGAATGAGCGGGCCTAATCGACCCCTCAAAAACAGAGACTGTTATAAATCCATCGTGCCGTGAGAATCAAAAAATTCCAAATTCACAGAGACAAAGAGACCGTTCTTTAAGAGTACTGTAATCTTTGATTTGGCCCCGAATTTGTTATTACTGTTTTTACATTTTTTGAAGGTACTTACATAATTTGAGTTTTTTCGAAAACTTTCCTCGAATTATGCTAATTTCGTTGGAATAAACGTTTGATCAAATTAACATAAAAATATTAACCAAAATATTGGGAATTTAATGACAAGGGAAAAAAGGTTGAACTATTATATAATATTTAAATAAATTACATACAAATTTAAATTTGCCTTGGATTTTTAGCAACTGCAGACATTAATTTCTCGGAGACCTCTGTAAATTTGGCTAGTTATGTCGCATACATAATAACAAGTAAAAGTATGATATTGCGTTAGGTTTGATCAACATGTATCCCTTGAATTTTGCGTTCTCCCCCTAGTAGATTCAGACAGAATTGCAAAAAAATCCAAATCCCATCTCCACACAATCTCCAAAGACATATTCCTCCAGACTAATTCGCCGCCATGCCCAATGTTGACATAATTGCCATGGAAAATGCCCCACATTCATAACGAATTACAGATGTCTCCACCCTCAGAATCCCGCATTTCTCCATTCACTTCCGGCCCATTGGACCGCAATCAGGGCCGAATGTTGTCATCGGGAGTGGCAAAAGAATTAGGATCCGGGTCGCGGGGCCCTCCGGACGAACACAAAATGCCCTAAAGACTTAATTTACATTCGGCTTTTCGGTCATCATAAAAGGAAGACCAGAGAGGAGAAACTGGCTGAATAAACGAACCAATGAATAATTGGCCAAAGAAACTTCTTGGTTTGGCAATATGGGGAGACCGGGACAAAGGAATTTAAGGGAAAACTGAGTAATCATTAGAAGAGTACAGAGTAAAGAACGGGCAGTAAAGTTTGCTTTTCGGAAAGGTTACTGTAGGCGTACGGCTATCTTCGTACTCCTATAAGTAGCGGACTTTTAACGTCCTCATTAAAACGGGATAAAACTTCTATTGCCCCAAGATATTACATTTTACTAATATTTGACCGGAACACGTTATACTAGAATTCTTTTGACGTCTTTTAAATTCACCAAGAAAACGTCCCTAGCGATTGTGAATTGGAAATAATATGGATAGTCATCAGAAATGTCTGTGAACAAGAATCCATTAGCATTTCAAAAAACAAGATGGTCTTATTAGGAATCACAAAGGCGGTTTTCCAAAATCTCGGTTTATTGAAACTAAATTTTAAGATCAACCAATTCTTTTGCACGTTTGAGACTAACAAGGAACCCAGAGAACAACAATTCCAGGCCATCACTTTGAGCACGTACACAGTAAAATGAAGGCACTTGGACCTTCTAATGCTCCTCACATCATCCAGACCGCATAAACCCCTTAGGAAGTTTTAGCAAAATAGCAAAACATGTCATTTAACGTCACAAGCAAGTTTCAGAGACATGCCCAGTCTACGACGTAGCTGCTAATCCCCACAGCGCTCTTCATTCTCCCCATTCTTATTCAATGTTCGTTCCTCATTGGGCAGTTCAATATTATTCTCACGTCCTAATTTGAATAAAACCCTTTCCGTTTTTTAGGCATATTCAATTATTTATCAGAGTAAAAGTAATGGTGACGATTGGGTTTCCTGTGGATATGAGGACCTGCTAAAAATGGAAACTGAGCTGCCAAAAAACGACGAAGCAATGGGTATTTTGGAGCAGTATGTAATCAGAATACGAGAGAGGAAATTTTTAGATGCGTTTGGTGACAGAGGAGAGTGATTTATGGACGAAATGTAAGAGACTTGAAGATAAAATAAAAATTGTAGGTTGAGAATGTCAAGAAGGGACAGGGGCCAATTGAAAGGGGAAGTAAAAGTGCAACATTTAGAATTGGCTAAAACGTGGCCCAAATACGAATCAAGTGTCTTAAAACATACCGCACTTTTAGGTTGCAATTTTTAGAAAAAAAGAAGTACTCTTGGCTTAAACTTTTGGGTTCAACGGTACTATGAGTTGCGATTTGTCATTGTATGCATCGCGGAGACCAGGAAGACTATGTTTGTCGGAAAAATAACGGCGGATCGTCGCATCAAAAATTCCCAGCCGCGGCTTGAAGTCACAAAGCGATGATGGGCGGTTCCAAGGCGCGACGATCCGCCGTTATTTTCCCGACAGACTGATAATGAGTAGAAATAATAGGATTGATTGGACCCCAATCGGATAGCCTATGATCTGTTTTGAGGTATCTTACATGTATTTACATCATTAATATGCGGATAGACAGCAAAAATACAAAAATTGTTCATGTTGTAAGTTTTCGACAAGTCTCGGCCGATCATTCACCAAGCGTCCAACTGTGTGGTCGGGCCTCGTAGGAACCTTCTTCCACTTTTCTTTGAGTCACCGCCTGCACTACGCCGCGTACCGATCAATTTTTATAGTTCGAAGAAAACTGTCGTTGACCCAAAAAGTCCGGTCCGTTTGCCCACAATATAACCATTACCCACCCACCTTTGGCGATGCCTTTTTTGGAGAATTTGAATATAAAAATATCTGTCTCGGGAAAAAAAGGAAAAAAGATCAGAGCAAATGGAATAAAACCTGCACAAAATGTGCATCAGTGTTTCGAAGGAAACATCTTCTCTGCCATATCTAATTTCATTTTGAAGAATAAATAAATCTTTTTTAAATTTTAAAATAATTTTAACAAACAAATAAGTATTAAAATTTTATTAGAATTCTCAAACAGAGAGATAATTAAGAAAAAATAATATTAAAAGTTAAGTAAGCGTTCACATTAAACGGGAGATTTACAACAAAATTTAACCGGATGTACACGTAGTTTAGGCAATGAGCAGGGAGAAAAAGGTCCATGAGTTTTCGTTTTTTGGAGGGAAATAAGTTAGATCTGGCGGCCGGACAACTTCCAGACCAGCGTTTGGCAGCGAATGTATTCGGCAAGATGGGTGGTTAACTGGAAATATACGAGGATTACTGTAAGATACCCAATAGAATTTTTTTTTAGAAATTCGACCATTAACTCATGCTACCCTTACCTGTTCAATAGAATCCTTTGGCATTTCGAAAGTCAGTCTTTCACGAGGAGTTTCCTCCGGATGCGCGTCTGGAGGGAGGATTCTTGAGACTGAGATCATAAAATCACCGTGGTATTCCCCGAAATTTACCAGTCGATGGAAGGGGAATGTTCGGATTAGGTCCTAAAACATTATAATTGAGACCTAGATAAAAATTATAGTACCTACCAACGTTTCAGTAGGAAATTGAAAGATTAAGACTTAATCTTTAAACTAAACGACTTACCATTTGTTTTTCGGTCAACAAATGTACTCCTTGATCCGTCAAAGCGATCAAAATCGGGTCTCCTTTGTGCATCTTCATCTTGGCCGTTTTTATGAAAGCTCCGAAGAATTTCCATCGTCTTAATACTGTCAATAACATCTTCACACACTCTACTAGTCCCACACCATTCAATTCTCTCCAATGTTGTTCAACCGACGCCTTCAAACTTCGCATATTCACGACTTCCAACATTTTGGCGGGGTAAAACCTTTCCAAAGATCGATTTAGAGGTGTCTCCGGGTTGGGAGGGATGTCCCCATAGCACAATTGAGCGTAGAGAGCGGTCATTTCTTCAGCCAGTTCATTCGACATCGGGACATAGCCTTTGACAATCTCTTCGGCCATTCTGTAACACAAAAGGATCTTCTCCATGGGGGTCTCCTCATCGATCAAATTGGACCAATAATGCCTGAGACGAAGGCGAAGACGGATCGAACATGAGTCATCGGTAACTCGCCCACATTTCATATCCTTGACTTGCTTTTCCCACGCCGTTAGACAGTCACAGAGCTAAAAATTCAAGAGATTTCAATTGTAATACATACAAAAATTCTCAATTCCCTTTACTTTTCATAAAAAAACTATCCAAAACAATGTAAGCTTACTTTCTGTTTGTTCTTCAACAAAATGTAGGAGTCTGAGTCGTTCAGATCTTGTGCATAAAGAGCATATCCACTTAATAATGCCGGTCTAAGACCCAACTTCAGGCATAACGAGCTTAGACATTGCCCGATCTCGGTGCACCCGTCAAATTCGATGACTTGAAAATCTCCAGAAGGAAGTTGAATAGGTACGGAAAATGGCAGTGTTGTACTTGAGGGATCTCTTGTCAGAATTGAAATAGCTTCAAGCTTAGAGGGACCTTCACGACGATCTCCGGCCTTCTGTTTCTTGAAGATAAGTTGTTCACAGAAATCAGCCAGCTTCGAGTTTTCATTACTAAAAAAGAGATTTTAGTTAGCAAGAAGTAATAATAAAGAGTTAGAGAGAGAAAACAAAATCTTAAAATTATATAATAATATTTGAAAAAACTTTTGTTCACTCACTCCATTATCTTGAATCGCTGCAGATGACTTCTCAACAACCAGAAAATACTGTATTTACTCGGCAAATAGAGCGGAATGGCCATAGCCATCAATTTCCAGGCTTGTACCGTGGTCTCAAGTTTGGAGCAAGTCAGTCGAATCAGCTGGGCGTACAACTCGTCAATCAAGGGGGTGTTCTCCAGGGCCGTCGTTAAAATATTCTGACTCAAATCTACGTGATATTGCATGGCAATTGGCCTCATAAGGACCGAAGAGAATAGGTACAAGGCCATATCATTCTCGAGAGCTTTCTTCTTGAGTCTCGGTTCGTCGATTGAAATGAGAGTATCAGTCGGCTTTTCCTCCGGATTCGTCATCAGAACATCGTGCCACAGCTCCGAATCTGGGTTCGAATCGAGCATTAATCGCTGAATTAGGACTTCAAATGAAGTCCCACACATTGAAGGGTCCTTGGCGGCCAATTTGAGATAATAGAGCCATTTATCCTTCTCCTCTCCATTCTTCAGCATCAGATAAACGGGATCCGCGTTGCTCCCCTCGATGCAGATACTGTAATCCGCCTTTTCCTGCTGCTGACTTGAACTGGATGATCTGGACGCATTCGAAGTGCCCGGAAGAAGGTCTGAGCTGGCTTGTTCATCACTCGACCCACTGTATTCATCGCTGGAGCCCTTCGATTTCTCGGAAATGGCGCATCCTTGCAGGACAATGTGAGAACAAGGCAGCTTTTCATCGGATTTCTTGAAGAACAACAACTTTTGCCCCACCAAAGCCGCAAAATATTTGCGTTGATGGCCGTGCTTCACTTTGGTAATCCATCCCGACAAAATCGCCTCGACTTTGGTGGCCTTCTGACTCAATTCGTTGATGGTCAGCTGTTTGAGACATTGAGATATTGTCGTGAACCACTCCTCGGTCACCTTATCGTTCTCTGCGTGATATTTCAGTTTGTCATTGTCGATGCAAATTTGGATTCCGTGAGTCCCAGTCTTGCTGGTGACTCTGTTCACAGCCACAACATCTGATAATTGGATGGTTCGAGATGGCGGTTCGTTCTTCATCTTCTCCTTGACGGTCCGGTAGAAGTCGAGTTTATTGTTTTTGAGGACGATGTAGCGTCGTTTGAGGGAGCGCAAGCGATTGTCAGACATTTGTGTCAGGTATCCAGCGCGTTCCATCTAAAATAAGCTAAATGTAGTTAAACATTATTTCATAAAACCTCGTATTTTTTAGTTTCCATTTTAAGTTGATCTCCAACAATTTGTATTTTCTAAACGTCAGAATGCATTCAAATCAAAATTACTTACATTTTCGTGCGTCGGGATCAACGACGCCCTCAGGGTTGGCGGCTGATGTAACGGCGACGACCCCACACTGCTCAAAACAACAGTTTCCCGGCATCTCGGCAATGTCAAAACTCGATTGGAATAAGGGGAAGCGTGTCTGGAGACGGGAGTTGAGGCATCTGGAGGTAGAGCATAGTCATCATTGTCTGCCGGGACTGCGGGAGCGTGTGTTCTGGCCATTCCAAACGGGATTTCGGGAGGAGATTCGGCCAGGGGAGCCAGGCCATTCGCCGAATTCCCGGAGCCTCGGCCCAAACCCGAGTCCGAATCTCTGCCCGGAGGGGTTAATTGTTTAATGGAAGCGGGATTGGAAGAGGATGAGTGGTGCTTGGATAAACGGAGATCTCCGGAGAACTGGAATTGGAGATATTAATATAGGGCTCGGGGTCTTTACTTTTCATCAGCTCTGCGAATTTGTTTTGCAAAAAGGCGTTCAGAATTTCCGCTGAACGCCTTTTTGCAAAATCAGTTCAAATCGTGAACGGTTTTTGCAATAAACCGTTCACGGTTTGAAAACAGGACGAAAATTCACAAAATGAACGGCTTTTACCATTTCCCGTTCACGAAATTTCGACAGAAGAAACTGCTGAACCGATTTTGCGAAAAAGCGTTCAGCAGGGCGTGCTGAACGCCTTTTTGCAAAACAAATTCGCAGAGCCGATGAAAAGTAAAGACCCCGAGCCCTATATTGGGTCCAATAATGTTGGAGTAGGTCAAAAAAACTTCTTTTTTCACAAGGAAAGTACTTCTATGGGGTGTGGAATTACCGGTCGAGATATATATCAAAAAATTCGCAAAAATTTTCTGATTCAGAATATATAAAAATTAGCTGCCTAATTTTGGTCTATCAGCGAGTTTTTTCAATAAATGTTTTTCTCGAGGAAAAAAATCTGCGGCAACAAAAGCGCGCTCGGTCTCTTCCTTCGGCAGAGAGCGGTGTGGCCGAGTGGTTAGAGCGCTAGATTGGGAATCCGCGGGGAACGGGTTCGATTCCTTTTGCCACACTAGAACCCATTTTTTACATTGGAACTACTTTTAAGGTGTAGTTGTAATCCACTTTGATATTTTAAGGCTTGTCAAGGCCTCAGAATTTAGTTTAGCACAAAACAAATTTTTTTTATTGGTAAAAACGCGGTCAAAAAGACACTTGCATGGTGTCGCGAGAAAACTTCTGAGGACAAAAACATGTCATTAGACCAAAATTAGGCAGCTAATTTTTATATATTCTGAATCAGAAAATTTTTGCGAATTTTTTGAGATATATCTCGACCGGTAATTCCACACCCCATAGAAGTACTTTCCTTGTCAATAAAATTCATCGTCCTCAAACTTTTGGATTCAAAAAAAATATTTTTTTTGTCATCAAAAAATCCTTACCGAATTTTTGGAGAATTTTGCGGGACTCTGATCTCGAATGCTTGACAGATCGCTGATTCTCTGGCTATCCCTCGGGACCAGCGGAGAAAAGGAGCAAGGTGAGGGCGAGCAATTACTCTCGACCACACTCAGACACTTCTCTGCATTTCTGTACAACTTTTGCTCCCATTGGACTATTGGCTTATGTTTTGGAGGGTCCGGTTGAATCCTCAGAATGTCCGAGTAAAGATACGGCAATGAGGCCCGATTTGGCTCCGTCTCCGCCTCCGGTGTGTAATCTTTGACGGTGCAAAAATCGGCGAGATTAACGTAATCCGCGTATCGGGCGTCTTTCTTCAAAGTCCGCGACTCTCCAGGCGAGTTGTCATCGTAGACAATTTCATCGAAGATCTCGTCGTCCGAGTCCCCATCATCTTCAGCATCATACGAGTTGAGGCTGTCTCGTTCCATCTCTTTCTTCTTGTTCATCATAATCATCTGTCCGCCCATTATCGGCCGGGCTTTCCTGGGCTGAGCCACGGGTTCCGGATGCTCGCTGGAAGGTGAGGATTCGGTCGAGGAGCTCTGATGGAACTGAGAATTCATCGAATTCTGGATCCCTTGAGTCATCGTCAACGTCGATGTAGCACTTGAATCAGACGTCTTGGAAGGATTCTTCCGCGGACTTCTTTTCACGGGCACTATTGCTGAAGTTGATTGCGTCATCAAAGTGGGACGGAGAACGTCGGGTTGGTTGAGGAATTGATGGATTTGCCGGTCGCCCGAGGTGTCATCGGAAGTGAGGCCACTGTCATCCGATGTGCGGGAATGCGACTCCATCCACGTGGGAAGGGTACCCTGAAAGAAAGAAAAATATTAAAAATAGAAAATAAAATAAAAAATCTTCAAAAAAATTATTGGGCAGATTTTAATAACATAATTTATGACAATTTCGAACCCAAATTTTTTTACCAAATTAAAGTTTTGTGGCGAAAACGAATTTCGTCTAAAATATCGGTTACTGGTGATGCTTTTTGCCAGAAATAAATTTAAAATTATTGGAATTTTTTGGTTTATCAACCCTTTCATCCTAAAATCATCTAATTGTAATCTTTTTTTATTATTTTTTTTGAATTCTATTACGTATAACAGAATATACGTACTTCTTCAAAAATTTCTTCGGCCCCGCAAATATGAAAATTGTATTACGCCATCCCTACAGTACCCGAAAACCTCTCAGAATTCCTTCCCCTCATTCCATTCCGATCTCCCCAACAACCGATCAACCATCTGCCCGGTTATCCGGCAGCTGATCTCGGCGCCTTGGAAGGCCTTCTTCATAACAATAACCCACAAAATTCGCTTCGAAATCCGGAAAAGGGGATGGAAAAGATCCCGCAGGGAGTTAGCGAACAATGGCGAGGGGCCAGCGATAAAAACACCAGACGCTCTGTTATCGTTCGCATCTCCCGCACAAATTATTTATTCAAAGCCGATCCCCGCTCTCCGTGCCCGGAGGGGTTTTTGGCGGCGGGAAAAAGTTCGGCCTCATCATTGGGCGGCTTTCGAAGGGAGATACCCGGTTTTAATTTGCTAAAAAATATCTCAAATTGTAGAATCTACCTGGTCATTGGACCTGAATTATCTCTATCAAGCCTTTTTCTTCAGTTTACTTTTAAAAAATCAAAAAATTTCTTAATTTTTTGCAAAAAAAAACAAAAAAAAATTTTTATGATTTTAGTTCTTTCAGGTGGTCCTAGAATCATAAAAGGTCTTCAAACCTTGGTAAAATGTAGCAGCTATTACGAAAACGATCCCACTTATCTGATTTACTGATTCCCTCAAAGAAAAAAAATCAAAAAATCTCAAAATTTACCCATTTCCCCCTTACAATTAGACCAACCAAATTTCCATTAATGCGACTACTTTTACCCGTTTTACTGCCCCAAAACGCCTTCCGATATCATATTTCGGCATTAATTCCAACTCAAACACCAAAAGAAAACAATGGCCATGAATTTTGGAGGGCCCGAGCACGATACCCGGGCTTCTGAAGGGCCGAAAAATATGAATAAAAATAAAAAATGGGCCGCTTTTGGAGAGAAAATATAGCTGCAAAAGGGAAAACGGATCGGGTTACTGGTCAGTTTTGTGGAGTATAATGGTTTGCAGAGAGGAAAACATAAACTAATATGGAATAAGGACATTCGGAAGGGAATGGAAAGCAAGTGTAATATAAAAAATTGGGAATTTATGGAAAGGGAGGTTTGAAAACGATCGCTTAAGTTATCATAAGATAAAAAGATAAAAAAAGAGAAAAATTGCCAAAAAATTAATCTTGTCTTCAAAAGTCTTACGCAAAAGTTCTCAAAACCCAAAAAAATTTAGCCCACAAAAAACCGTAGTGAAACTTACGGAGAAGCTCTGTGAGAACAAGGTTGACTGTCTCCACTGTTTCGTATTCTCGGCGTACGATGCCAACGCCTTCAATTCATTGGCACACCTGAGGTTCTGCTGTCGAAGACGTTCGTTCTGCGCTTCGAGCTGCAAATGCGAATATATTAGACATCAAGGTCGTCCAACGGAGGAGTGAAAAATGAGTCGAAAAGAGGGAGACGCCAAAAAAATTGTTTTGAATCTTTGAGATTGAGTAATATCAAGTCGGATTGATGGTTAAAACCAGCAAAAAACTGTTTTTTCTTTTTTCTGGGTCGAATATTTTATTTCGGTACTGTATTTTATGGGTAAAAAAAGTAAAAGCAAGAGGAAAATTGTGAAAAGTAATAAAATTTAGAGAGATATTGCAAGAAGGAATCAAAAATTGGACCAACGTGTTCTCATGAAAACAATGTTAACATGTTTTGACCCGCCGGCGATGATTAACGACAAATGACGCCAGGTGGATGGTCGATTATGCAGAGTCAGAGGGCGATTATTCACTGGGGAGGGCTGATCTCGGTCTATGTAAAGAGATCTTTGGAAAATAAGGGAAAATATTATTGTAGTAGGAAATCAGACATAAAATTTTACTCGTATTCATTTATTATTTAGATAGTAAATCCTTTCACAAAAGCCCGTAAATAGCCATACATTTAGCTATCAACCAGAAATAGAACAAGAATTATACAACTTTAGTCATCAAAACTCAAAATTTTGAAGAAATCTTAATTTCAATCCGAAATTGGCCCTAAATGCTCTAAATATAGCCGGAAAACCATGGTTGTACTAAATTCATCATAGCCAAACCAAACAAAGCCCTTCAGACCTTAGAATAGACCTCAAATTCCCACCTAATCCATCAGAATCCGCTCCCATCCCACTCCAGAAGCCGTTTAGTTGGGGGCCGTAAAAGGTGTCGAATGTCTGCTCAGCCCTGCGGCCCTTCTGTTTTTCACACCCAAATGACCCAAGCCCTGCGGGCCCGGGAGTGACCGGCAAGAGATCTCACCCATAAAACGGGTAAAATAGATTTTGAAATACGCGGGAAAGACTCCATTAAATGCCTGCGGACATCTGGATGCCGTTCAAAGGCATATGGGGGATCGACGGACTTATGAGATTAGACTTTATTAAAACGCCTGCGGGAAAAAAATGGCGCACAGTGCGAGAGCATTAAAGTTATGAAATTTCAAGTGATTTTGAATCAAAATCAATTGACTGCTCAATTCCTAAATAAAATTTAGAGCCCAGAAAATCCAGGATACGCCTTCGCAAAGACAAGAAAATTTAAACTTTAGATAAAATACGATCTTTCATATACCATTTTATTTACATGCATATTAGAAGTCAAACTACACGTAAAGTCTTGATAAATCAAGATTGGTCGGTCTTTTAAGACCTAATGATACAAAGCTCAGGTTGGAATATTACTAAATATTATATCTACTAAACCATGATATCCTGATCCTGAAAATCCATAAATCCGTCTACTAAACTACTAATCGCCCCTTCTTAGATCATAAACCGTTCCTGATCTCCCTCCAGCTCCAACGAGCCAATAAACGGATTGTATTCAAATTCCTTTTCCCCGACCATTAGCCTTCTCCAAACCAAATAAAAAAGCCCCGAGTCCACTCTACTACTACTCCATTCCGCCCATTGTAATGCGCAACTTGTTCGGACACCGGGCTCCGCAGATTCCGGAGGCAATAAAAAACGGCTGCGGAAGAGCGGAGAGTCGTAACCACCAGCCCGTTTCGGGCCTCAGATATGGAACGAAGATGGAGGAAGGGACCGAAAATGGCTCGAATCAATCCCAAATTCAATGCAAAAAAGTCGTGACATTCCGAGCGCTTAGCGAGGTTCTTGAACTGTGCGGAAAAAAACTGTGAGAGATTTATTGGGAATTTGAGGGAATTTTGCGGGGAAAAATACTGTAACGTCTTGATAAAAACAAGGTTTTTGGATGGAAAGGGGCATCAGATGGTAGAAAAAGAAGTGGGAAATGATCAGAAATCCCGCATGTAGTAGTTTATAAACAAAAATTTTGACGTATAAGATCCGAATATTTAATGACTTTTCAAACGAAATCAAAAAAAATTATGATTTTTGAAAAAACAAAAATAGATTTTTTTGTCATGACAATGGCATTCTTCAAAAACATAGGGACTTCTGCAGTTCTGCAGCTAAACATCCCAAAAATGCCCTCAAGCTATGATTTGTTTGTGAAATTTCATATTTTTTTCAATACGACCTCTAAATTTATGTTAGTCAAAAAATCGTAGCTTGAAAATGACAATGGTTTGACCCTCTAAAACATCATAACCCCACTCCCTGTCCCATTTCCATCTTCCCTCATCTCTGCCTTTCCTCATGTCACGCTCGACCTTTTGAGAAGCGTTGGAAAAACAGGAGAAAGCGCGTTAACGAGCGCGGAATCAAGGCCGGCCGCGCCAGAAGCCCATAACCGGCGACATCTCCCGCATCCCATGGAAATCAGCCGGCAGGAAATTGGCGCGATAAAGATCGCCGAGCCAAAAAATAGAGGGCTTTCGCTAAGGGAGAGGGTGATTCAGATGCCTTGACATAAACGCACTTAGTGCTAATATAAATTTAGAGGGAGACAAAACTGGTCGACGTGTTCGAAAAAGGGGTCAAGCTAGGGCAAGAGCGTGGGGAATTGGGAATAGAAGAGGGCTGGCGCAAGGCTATGGCAAGGTGAGATCAGTGAGAAATTTATGAGAAATGGTATGCCCGTCTGTCGAAAGAATGACAGTTATTAATTAAGAAAACTTTTCATATCACGCATATAGATTTAAACAGGCCAGATGAAACCTTTACATGTTCTCAAAACCTTCCGCTCCCCTCAAATGTTGATCTCTTTCTCCGTCAACAACTTTATCGAATGGCCCAAAAACCTCAATATTTCAGGTAGGAAAGTTGGCTGCACGTTTGATCAACAAAATTATGCAAATCACATAACCAAGGGCTCAATCCCCTTACAGATCAAGCTACACTGTTCAAAAGTCAATTTTTTGTAAGCTTTCTATTCGACATCGATATTTCCGAGTGTTGATTCTGGCAGAGGATTAACCAAAAAAAAGTATTACCAAAGAAATTTCAATTTCAAACGCAACAAAGGTATTGAAATCAAATTAGTCATAATAAAGCTGATCAGCCAACTAACATGACCTTATAAAGCCACTAAAATAACTTCAAACGCTCATAAAGCCTCTTCCCCGCCCTTTATAGCCCATATTTGTACAAAAAGCAACCCCAAAATAATCCAAACAGTCCTCCAAAATGACCTCCCCAGCCCTTCTTTAGAGAATTTTTGGCTGTTTCCCCTAAGGCCAGTGATGAATGAGGCCGAAAAAGAACTGAAAGGAGGATTAAACGGTGCCATCAACCCCTCGGAAGTCGCTGATAAATTCTTGGGAACTTCGAAGACTCCAGAAAATTTGAATAAACCAAAATAGAGACTCATAAGTATTCGAAAAATCAGAAATCGCCGGGGCGCAAAATGTTTGCGCAACCGGGGGTTTAAGCCGCGAAAACAGAGAGGAAAAGGAGGTTCTTGACCTTCTAAGGGACTCAACGATATAGTGTAATGTATATTACACACTCGATCTGTAAGATCCTTTGATGGGCAATACCACCACCATGTATAATATCGGACATCTAAGAAGTGACCCCCGTTTAAATCGTAAATAAATAGGAGGTTGGAAACAAAAAACCATTCTGACTTTGAGACAGGTTTTAGATGGAGTGGGCCATTCTTTGAGGATTAATCACCTAAAAAATAGCTGGGAGGGATCAAGATTTGGAGTTGGCATTTTGAATGGCCGGAGGTCCCATAGGTTGAAAAAATGAGTAATTGAAGAGAACAGACCCAATAAATATGTTGAATATTGTTTTAATATCAGCAATTAAAATGAAAGGAATTCGCTGACAACAATTTATATTATTCATGGGGTCAGCTATGATGATTTTAAAAATATGGTAGTTCAGCTCATCCGAGTTCCCCAATATCATTCCAACCCAGCCAACAAGACCCCAAACTTCGCGCAAATCCATTGGAAACCCCATTTGAAAGCCGGCCAAACCCTTTCTATCGAATCTCCTCCCTTTCAAAACTCGCAAAAGTCAAATCCAAACACAACTCACAGCTGTTTGTTCGACCAGAGCGAGGAATGGCCAAAGCAAAGAAAAACGAGAACAGAGGTCAGTGTTCCGCGGGAACGCCGAGAACGGGCTGATGGATTTGAATGCGGGAAAGTGGAGTGTAATACGAAAAGGGGGAGGTGAATAAGACCTCGGACTCTGATTAATTCGAGGGATAGATCACTGAGAAAGTAATTAGAGGTTGGGGAAGACGAATGTTGCATAATGGAAGTAAAACACAGGGAATAAAGGCAACAATCCATCAAAAATGCCCTCACAATAAAATTTTTGATGATTTCGCATAAAAGCAAAACCACCGGACTGAATTATGAGGTGATTCAGATAGAATATGTCGTAAGAAAAAATTGACCCTACATTCTTGCCAAGCGTATGCTTCGCTAGACCAAAAATCTATCAAAAAATGCCTAGTAATTTTCTGATGATTTTGAATAAAACAGAAGAATTCAGTTCATTTATGACATGACAAGGATAGAATAGATAGAAAAAAGTACTTTAGAATGTATTTAATCAAGTGTACTACATCTTGAGAACAAAAATCCGTTAAAAATGACTTGAACAATATAATTTTTTGCCAATTTTGGATAAAAGCAATAAAATTGAGCTCGATAATCACCAAGATAAGACAAAACTAGTCTTAAAAAGTTGTTTACAATCTGTTGGAGACAAGTATACTGTAGTTAGCGTCTAAAAATTCCCTAAAATCCAGCCATTTCAAGTGCAAAACCCTCGCCAAAGAGACGGGAGAAAATGCAATTGGATCGGAAGACGTCCTTCAAAGACAATAGCCCGGGCAAAAGATGGACATGGGGCTTCAATTAGACAATTGACCTTAATTCCGCTCGCAAAAACATTACTCCGCTCGGCTTGAACCTCAAGGATAAGGTCGGACTTCGAAGAACTACGAATTTGTGGAGGCCAAACCAAGTTTTTTCATGGAAAATGAAAACAACCAGAAAGTTCCGACATTTGAATAAGAGAAGCTCACTTTTTACCAAAAACAAATTTTCCCATTTCGCTCGAGTTTTCGCTGAAACGACCGGTCGAGAGATGTCTGCTCCAGGAATCCTCTCCAAAGGCAGTGCCAGCAAGGACGCCCACGTCAAGATCGATGCTCCCGAACAGACCAAGCGCACCAATGAGGCTCCACCCGCTCCCAATCAAGTCACCGCCCCCAAAGTGGACTTTGTCATCAAGGATGAGGTTGAATTGTTGAGAGCCGGCATCATGAACAAGCATGGAGAACATGTCAAGGGTCAAGGCAAGTAGAAGACAATAGTATCATTCGAATACTTGGAATGGTTCGAATTGTGGATTGATTTTGAATAAATTTTGTGAAAAAATTTGGAAGCTTTGGATTTGGTGACAACTATAATATAATTTTTTGAGAAGAAGAATGTAGAAGTGATGCATATAGCTAGAAGCAGGCGTAGTCGTTCCTAGTACACCTTTACGTGAATGATTTCGCATGAGACTTGAAAAAAATAAAATTTCGGGGTTGGTGTCAAGTAGAACATAATTTGTGCTGAGGATTGGTTTTTGATATCAAGATGTTCTACTCAGACGTCCCAAGTCCGAACCTACCTCCTGCAGTCGTTTCTTGACCCATAATTTGATCCTCGTCGACTTCTCGCTCAACTGAATATCTTCCGGACTGACCGGCTCACTTTTGCTCCCATTCGGCGTGGAAAATGCCGGAGGGCGAGCCGGATTCTGGGCCGAATTTGAATGTGGGACCGGCATTAATCAATTCGGAATAAGATCATCTGAAAATAAATTGTTTTAAACTGTAAAAAACGTTTGAAATCCCGTTTTAAACAAAAGAAAAAATAAACAAAAATTGAGGGCCAAAAATGCGATAAATCTTGGAGGGAAGGAAACGGGGATTCTGCACGTTCATAGTGTTACATAAATCAGGAGGAAACTTGAAGAAAAATGTTGAAAAAATTGCGGTTAAATTAATGGGATTTAAATATTAAAATTTTCCGAACATCTCTAAAAAATGAGGCGTTAGGATGACGATTTTTTTTGAAAACGAACACCAAAATCGGTCTAAAAGTTTCTTGAAATAGGAATAGGCTAACAAAAAATTTAATTTTATCAAAAATTTGACGTAAAGAAGTTTAATGATTTTTGATTTTGTAAAATTATACAAAAATATGCAAATTTTTTGATGCAAAATTTAAACATAGAGTAAATACTGGGTGCCCAACCTAAATATATAAAATAAGATTGAAGTCTCTGTGACAAATCCCCTCTCAAAAATGTTGTTTCGTTTGATACCAGAACTTCCGAGATGCCTTAAAATACGCTTGTTTTTCGAAAATTGATCTCTCACTCGCTCATTATCCCTCACGTCATCCCTTTTTCCCCTCCAAACTCTGTTGTTCCAGAAGTCCCCTCCTCGAAACGATGAGTCCGAGTTACAGCCCGAGTAAATGAGAGTCACCGCCCTCAGGGCATGGGGTGGGGGCCGGAACCGTTTTCACGTTCTTCATTTGGAGAGGCTCATTTGGGCCCGGCGGGGCTCGCAAACGAGATGACTAATATCTCGGGGACATGCATACGGAAAGCTCGCGCATTTCGAGTTCGAAACGGAGGGAATGGGGGAGGAAAAAGGCCAGGTGCGTTTTCATAGAGTGACCCTGAGGCATTAAATCCTTATGGAAATCCGAGAAGGATATCCAACGGCGGATTTTTATGTTCAAAAGGCCGTTGGAACCCACCCTAAATGCATGATTTTCAAGGTAAGAGGCAAAGACGAAAGGTCATGGATACTATTGCTAAATTTGACTTTTAAAAGCGTTGCAAATTCCAAAAAAGTGCAGAATTGCAGAAGATGTCATAATGACCTTTCCGGGCAATATCCGATATATAATCCCCTCCGGGAAGATTTAAAAACGTGAAAAACGAGGAAATTGCGGTATTTCCTGACTGAAGAGGGCGGCCGAAATGACCGGCCGAAAATGATTTATCAGAATAATAAAAGACACATTGGCCATAAAGCCGCATGTGATGACAAAAACATCCCTGAGGGCATATGGTTTTTCTAGTTTGTTAATTAAATAATTTTTAACACATTGCAAAAATTAATAATTTAAAAAGTACAGTATAAGAAAATATAAAAGCCCTGCCCTATTGCAAGAAAATATTATTTTAGGGACCCAAAATCTTGACGGATACAATAATGGAGATGAAGACGGATGGGTGGGGCAATAATCCGTTCGAAAAGCCAATCATTTTCGAATACAAAACCCCTCCTTTCTTGGAGGCAGATGGATTTGGAAATGGCCGCGCGCCAGAGACTTGCGCAAGAGTGAGGTCCGGCTAATTAGTGACTTTTAAATTGCGGGTTTTGCGCAGAAAAATTGATGGGAGAGAAAGCTGGAGAAGATACGATACAGGCGGTAATACCATCCGTGAAGGAAAGTCATCAAAAACAAAGGAAAAGAAACTTGAATATTTTAAAAGTAAAAAAATTTTAGAAAATCAAACCAGTTGGTAACATCTTGAACTAAAATTTCTCGCGCCAATTTTATAAATTTTTACTAATGAAATTAAATTTCGGAATTGAAAATTAAAATATTCCAAAATATGCAGATTTTCCAAGATCACAAAAAGATTACAAGCCCATTCTAATTACAGCTTCTCGCACTAAACTTTTCCTAAATTTCCAATTTTTTGCGCGCCCTCCCTTTACGCACCCCTCCCTTTTCTCCAGTGCGGGATGCAAATTTCGAAACCCTCCGTTTCGGCCGCTGCGGCCACAAAGCCAGGACCTTGTATCACTCGCCATAAGAGGGCCCACTTCGAAAGCCCTCAGGGGCCGAAATGAGAAAATGCACCGGAAACCGGGATTTGCATAAACCCCCGTCCGAAACACGGATCTTGATGGGGCGAAGGAGATGGACATGATAAGGAAATGCATGAAATGGAGCGTGCTGGAGACGCGGAATTATGTCAAATGCAGATTAATGACACTTGAACGGTCAGGGAGTGCGTTAGAGGAGAGATGAGGAATATGCAAGGCAATTGCAGCGTTTTTGAGACGATTCTTTTTTGGAAAAAAACTTGCAGAAAAGTTAGATGACTTTACAAAGGAGTTTAACTCTCATACCGCTTGTATGCCCTATGTGCAACAGATGCCAATTGCTGAAGATTTTAATTGCCGACATATTCTCGGCAATGCGGATGGCAAATTGTAAAAAATGTGATTTTTTGAATAAAAAATCAAATTTATTTAGGCCACACAGCCAGTGTTGATAAAGGAAACCCCTTTCAACACCCCTATGTTTGTCTGATTTCTCACCAAATCATCTCCAACACCATCTGAACACTCTCCCAAGCCACTATTGCAAATGATATCCAGCATAGAACCAATAAACATATATATATTCCCCATCTTCCCCTCAGGGCAAATCCCGTTCCTCGCTCTTGTTGCTTCCGACATGGTCATCTTTGAGCCACCCTCAACTCTTTCTCTTTTTGGGCCTTAAATTTACCGCTAAAATGATTAGCGGAGGGACCCTTACAAATCGTCTTTGCATCCAGTTTGCGGCTTCTAATCTGGCCCCCATGGAATCGTATTTAGAGAGAGGAGAAATTGTGTGGGCTGAATGGAAGACTGCGCCTAAAAATTGGACATAAATTATCATCAAATGGCAACATCACCTTACACTTGAGGTCATATAAATGAATATGTTTCAAATTTGGATCGCCAAGGTTCAAATTTTTTTTAAAAGTTTTTACAATGCTTTTTTTGGCAACTTGTATGTGAATCTTTGAACAAATTTTGCCCTGTTCTAAGGCTGCAAAAATTTTAGAGATAGACAATAAAATGATGAGGAATGGTCAGAGAAAAACCTTTTTTTTCTGGCAGTTCTTTTTTTATTTCTGAAAACCCTCTTGATCAAACTCTGTATTTTACCCCGTTTTCTTTACTCGTTTGCCTTTCTTTTTCCAACTGCATTTCAAAACAATACCTTCCCCTATGTAGGTTACTTTTTGTATAGTCGATAGCTTATTTCTATTGATTCATGTGGATTCATTGCGGGACACATGCTGTAAAGCCTGTGGTTAGTCACTATGTAAAAGTAGAAGTATATAAATGTGTTCCTCCATGGTTGTATATCACGGTCGTATTATTCCTCTCAAGAATAATGAACACAAAGATTGTTGTCGCTCTGTTTGCTTGTGCTTTCCTTACTGTCGGAGCTGTAGTGCAGCCAATGTTGAGTTGTCACTCGATTCAGGATGGTAGGAACTTTTTACATTACAATCGCTTGATTGGCGAGCCAAAAATCGTTTTTTGAGGAATCTACAATGTTTTTCGATGCCCAGAAATATGTCGGACATTTTGATCACCCAATTTAATACTTCAATTCTTAACACAAGATTGTTTAGGCCGAGCTCTCGCTCCATCTGGCTTCGAGACTTGCAAACCTGATGTTGCTGCTTGTGTAAAGAAAATTAACAAGGGAAGCAAACGTGAGACACAGTAAGCATTATTTCCAGGTCTTTTCTGCCAACCGGCTGGCTTAAAGATGGTCTTTTCAGTGTCTGCGACCGCGATCACAAATGTCGGGCCGACAAGAAACATGTCAGCGACGATGAATACGATTACTACTGCTGCTATTCCGACAAATGTAACTCGGCCGCCTCGTTGGGCGCTGGATTGATCGCTGTTTCCGCCGTCACCATCAAAATGATCTTCTTGTAAATCCTGCTGAATAAAAACAAATTTGGATAAAAAATATCAAAAGATTTAGTTTTTATATGCAACAAGCCAGAAATTTAACCGAACAATAAAGAGCTTACAATACTTTTTACCTTTTTTCCTGAGAATGACTCAAATCTTGAATTCAAGAAATATGAAAAAAATTAAAAAATTAGTCACAACCGGAACGGTATAAAAGAACAGCAAAGTAAAACGAAAACTATTATATTATATTAGCATGCTAAAAATGAGTTTGAAGTTGCTACTATTTACTGTTTGTCTATGTTATTTTACTGTAGACATTGCGGCGCTTACTTGTTACTCGGTCCAAAACGGACGTAAGTGCAATAAAAGGGGAGCGATGAAAGCTGATTGAAATAAATATTTCCACCTGAACACTAAACTGTTATTTTTTTTCTTGCAGATGCTCTTGCCAAAGCGGAGACGTGTGCCCAAGATGTGGGGTCTTGTCTGAAGAAAATTAACAAAGGAACAAAACAATATGTGCAGTAGGTTTTAGATATATAAAAAAAATCTCTGCACAAATTTTTGAATTCTGAGTACTACGATTGTAAACTTCCTTTGTGTTTTCAGAACATGCGACCGCGCCCACCAATGCAAAGCAGGGGATACAAGTTTCTCTGATGGCACGTATGATTACTACTGTTGCAGTGGAGATATGTGCAATTCATCATTTGTCGCCAAAGCTGGCGCTGTGAGCTTGGCGGTTGTTTTACTAAAGATATGGTTCTTGTAAATCTTACAAAATTTATGTTGAATAACATTTATAGACCATGATAAATACATAAAACAGAGAGGGTTCAAATTTCTTCTGTTTCGTGATGATTCTCACAGAACCATGTAATGGTTCTGATACTTACAACACTAGAACTCTGAGTGTTCAAGGAATGACGTAAGTCTTAATCATTGACTTTCCCTTATTCCATGAATATACATTTAGCCGGGAATCATGGTGTAAGAAAGGCAATATCAAAAGTAGAGCAAACTGACTTCCTGGTCATGAATTTAAGAGGCTTTTTGTGTGTTGTGTGCTTCTGTTGTCTGGTATCAAATATATTGGCCTTTAATTGCCTTAACAACGAACGTAAGTGAATGCCATGCTGTATGTCAAATTGAAAATTATATTTTCAGCTCCAATAACCAGAAATCACGACGAGTTATGCAAACAAGGAATCGAGGCTTGTGTGATGATAGTGAAAGAAACTGGATACGCAGTATGGTAATAAAACATTTTTGGCATCAAATTGTGCCTTCAGCGAAGCTTGACCCACTTGATTTCAGGCATTGCGACAGAGATGGTATATGCAAGAACAATATTCAGCAGGGATATGGTTACATGTGCTGTTACACACACATGTGTAATTTCATCACCAATAAGTCCTCTTCTGTCGCCCAAACCTCTGGGACTGTTGCTGCGACAGTCGTCACCCCAACTTCTGAGGCTGTAGAGGCCACAGTCCTCACCTCAACACCTGGGGCTGTTGGAGCGACAGTTGCCACCTCAAGACCTGGGACTGTTATCGCCACAGTCGTTGTTCCAACCTCTGGAGCTGTTGGGGTCACAATCGTCGCCTTGAAAATGCTGTTATTAATAGAATTGGCCTTACTGTAACGGTCAGACGAATTCGTTAAAAATCATAGTAATCTTGACTTTATAATAAATTCTATTTTTGTTCGTTCCTTCGCTTGGTATTTTAATTATTTAATATTAATTAAATTCAACATGATGTGTTTATACATTCGGAATGAGTCAAAACATCTAACCCATTCCAAAAAAAGTTTTTAAATCTGCTTTCTTTCGAGAACTCGGCTCTCCTGCTAGGTTTATGGACGCTACAAAAAATCCCAGGGTAGGCATAAGAAAAGGAATAACTTCAGAAAAACTACTGCCATCCCAAGTATTGCAAATAACACCAAACCCGAAACTTTCTAGTTAGCCGGAAAATTGCCAGTTCCCGGGATATTCACCTTGACACAAACGGTGATTTTTTTAAATATAATATTTTTGAAATATTCTGAAAGGAAGCTTGTAGAAAATTAAGTACTACCAATCAAGAATTTTGCAAAGGTCTGTCCTAAACATCTAACTGTAAGCTCTATTTTTAACATACATTGAATCAGACTCTGGAAATTTTGTTTTGAAATGTCAAGAAAAAATGGCGGAAAACTTTTGAATCAACCTAGTGTATATGCTTGATGTGCTGGAGAAAACAATCTTTTCTCTTTTTAGTTTCAATGTCTCACCTGGGAAAATATGAATTTCAAATAAATTGTGAATCTTGTAGCTAGTCACCCCAATAATTTCGTCTAACCTTGATGCTATTTTTGAATCATGCTCTGTATAAAACCTTCAGCGCTCATGCCTTCAACACATTTATCAATGGCGTCAAAGATTCTGTTACTTGTTTGGGCGTTACTTTTGCCTACCAGCATAGTTAGTTGGAAGTATTGCTACAGTTCTACTGGTCAGGGTAATGTAATTGCTTAAGACACACAAAACTTCTGCCCTTTCTCGAGATTCCTGCAGGATACAGTGTCTGGGTGTCAACCGGGATAGTCTGGAGTGTCAAGTCTTCTGCAGCGGGAATTCATTTTATTAGGCGGACATTAATCCCGATGCGTGATATGACGCTCTCAAGGAATATTTGTCACCTACATGATATCATAGATTCCGTTATCTCCTTTTGCTCTCTGCACCCATTTACACCACGTCAAGATCACCTGCAATGTCGGCTCGCACTTTTTGAAAAAATTGTTTTTAGAAACGTTTTTGCGAGGGTTCTGGTACTGGTGACAATGGGCGTCTATTCTCTAGATCTTTGCCTTCTATGTTATTGCCAATTTCAATTTAAATATATGCACAACACTAAAAAAGTTCAAATTTTAGCCAATGGACAACTTGTAATGGAGAGGTGTGACCATAACGTCACGAAGTGTACCAATGCATACAAGGTGTTCGCGAAGCTGGAAAGGTATCGTAAAAATTGACTTTACACAATACTTGCAGCGGCTGCGACAAGTATGGCCTTTGCGATAAAGAACGCCTCAAAAAGAAACGTGGCTTCCTCTGCTGCAGCAAATCTTTCTGCAATGATGGTAACATGATTGATGACACTGCTACTACCACTACTACCACTACCACCACTACTACCACTACCACCACTACTACCACTACCACCACTACTACCACCTCTCCAACAACAAACTCCACTCTCTCCACTGATGTCTCTGTTGAGGATACTACTACTCCCATTACTCCAGCAATTGCTTCCACTACTTCAGATTCGGCTTCCTCAATTCAACTTGGTCTGCTCACAATGATCGTTGCAGCTTCCAGGACTTTCTTGTTGTAATTCCTTGAAATCGAACAAATTTCTTATAAAATCAGCCATTTTTTATTTCCTTCATAAAATGCTGTTACTGTGGCGTGAAACAAGTTATAGTTTCAAATATCATCAAAAATGTTATTTAGAAACGTTTTTGATGTCTCATCGTGATAGATCATACATATATATATATATTCACAGCAATATCTGCTTTTATTTCCTAAGAATGACAATGATTCTGATAAATGTTTCGGTCATACTATGTGTATGTTGACTGTGTGAGTCATCGTTTTTCTATGCCTTCAAGACTGTTTCTATTTGTGTGAATTCCACTACGAGCCTTACATCATTTGTATTCATCTTCCGCAAGTAGTTAACATAGCTGAAAAGTTATTGTTATGCATACGTTTATTCAAAAGTTAAAAGAGAAATCTAAAAAGGTCCCTTTTGCGATTTCCCTTTTCCCTATTATTCCGTTCCGACGACCAGGTTTCTGAAGCTTTTGAAGCTGGATAAGAGGCTGTTTTACCATAATAATACATAGATTGGTCCGTGGCGGTGGTAGAACCAACAAACATTTGTTTACAAACATTTCAACAGGGATGATATTTATATATTAAACGTATGCGGTGATCGGATTTGCTGAAGAAACAAGACTTTTTTACAGCCCTCTTTAATGTTGAAAACCTTACTCTATTCACTTAGTTGATTGTAGCTGCAAAGGTATTCTTGTTGTAAACTCTAAACTTTTGTTCACTTTCGACTAACGGTTACAGTAAAATCCCTACAAATACAGCCCTTACTGTAACATTTTCTCGAATTTCTGAAGGAATTATTTTGAACATTGTCTTTTCAAGAGCCCTCATAGGAATAAAGAAGCAAGTTTACTACTTTTATAAATGCAATACCACTGAATCGGCTCGTTAAAAATGCTTTCACTTTTCAAGTGCTTTATTCACATTCGTAGCTGTTACAATTACCTCGGAATGGAGTGCTTTTCAATTCTTCTGCAAGTGCAAAAAAAGTGTAATTCGACACGGCCAGGTACAATTGGCCCGAGGCGCTCTGTCAAAAATGTAAAATTCAATTCTCTTTCACGTATTTTAGCCGTCTTAACTACATTTATACTCCGAAGAAATGAATTTATAAATGGAAACCACATTTGCAGCTACTTTTATCTATTTACAACTCGAGTTTGGAGGGGAATGTAGACAAATGTAGGACATCACAATCAAGAGGGTCTGAGATCTTTGCAGAACATACAAACGGAGAGCATTTTGCGATGGAATTTACAGGACAAACGTTAAAGCGAACAGATATTGAAGAAACTTGGAATAAATTGAAATCCCAGCCTAGATAAAAGCATGTGCTTTTTTGTCATACATTTGATCATTCTGATGTAAAGGGCTATTTTTCCCATAAAATTCGCCGAAAAGATTTTTATTTTGATCAATTTTCGAACCAAAAATCTTTTTGCAAACTTCGAGCTAAAAACTTCACAAATCTCTTGGAAAATTCTAGCCTCAATTACAGCCAAGTCTCGTCAAAATTTGTCAAACTTTGAACACTCGAAAGTAAAAAAACTGTCATAGTAGTATCACTTACCGAATACCTTGAGATATGAAAAAGAGAATGTCTGGGTTATACAATTAGAAGTTGTTAGTTATTTTAGACCTATTTACAATTTCACATACAAAACAATTATCAAAGACACAATAAAAAATTGAGATTTTACTAAAAATCTACGTAAAAATGGCTACGAAATAACAACACAGAGACCGTCTAGGACACAATAGAGTAATCGGTGCTAAAAATAGGAAAAGATACCGGAAAAGATTACAAAAGTCACTGGAAACGTGGAAAAATGTAAAATACGAGAAAAAATTTAGGGATTGCTCCGCTCTTTGCAGATTTGAATATACGCTGACTGGAGCATGGTAAACATCAAGGCGATTTCTCCATTACAGCGGACTTGAGGACAGAAATCAGCGACCAGTCGAATCTCCGCGCCCAAATGTTGTAATTGAGATCTCACAACGACGAACATAAAGGCCGGGAGAAGCGAATCAATCGACCAGGTGTGCGTGGAACCGGCGGAGGAGAAGCGGGCAGTGCACTAAAATTAAAATTATTTTGAAAAAATTTTGTAATAGAATTTTAAAATTAATTTTCGAAATCAGATTTTTTTTTGAATAGGTCTTGATGAAACCTGCTTGCAATTGAGATTGGAATTTTACAAGGAGCATGCCAGATTTGATTATTAACTCATAATTTAACAAAAATAAAGGGTTTTTTCTGGCCAAAAACTTTTGCAATCATCTTGGCTGCCGTTACAGTCACGGTAATCCATTTCATCCAACCTTTTTTCTTTGTGTGGAAATTCTTAACTCTCAGAATGCCATGACCAATTATTACACCGCTCTCGCCCACTCATCTAATCAAGTACAATCTGCTTCGATTGACCCCTGCAGCGCCGGTTGAGAGTTTTCGAAAAGAAAGGGCAAAGAAAGGGCTTCGTTTGTTCGAACCATCGTCCTATAAGGCTCCAGAAATCAAGCGTCCGATGTTGTTTTTGTGGAATGACCAGGCCACTGGGCGAACTTCCTCGAGAAAAGTGTTCCGGATAAGTGGACGATGAAAAAGGTACAAGCATCGCTGAGAACGCAAGCTTTTTATATTGAACAAGGAAGATTCTCAAAGTACGGTGCATCGATCTCGATCTTCCTCAAGTTTCAGATTTACACATCCTCTAAATGCCGCTCATTTCAATTCCGAAATATTCGAGCTCAAGCTTTCTTGACTCAACCGAGATATTTCATATTTTCCGCAATAGAGTGTCTAAAATGAGGACAAACGGATAGTCGAAAAATGATTTCCGGGCTAAATCCTTTAGCGGTGTGTTTGGAACGGTATTCTCCTTGTGAAATTTTTTTACTTCTTGTTTCAAAAAAGCCCTCAAATCATCATTTTTTTGAAGGCTGCTGCAAAGCGCAGAAAAAATGGCCATACATTATGCCCGAAAAATTCAAAGTTTAAATTTTTGCCAAGTTTCACCTCTGCTTTCCCATTTTATCCAGCAAAATTTGCAATTTGGTCAAACAAAAAATAATAATTTAATGATTCTGTTCGTCATTACATTCGAAATTATCCACTCAATTTAATACTTCACAAACTATCCCCTGCCTATCCCGTATTACATTATATTAATTCCTCTTAGCATCCACATTGCCCACGGTCCACAGAGATTAAAACGTCGGAATCCATTACTTATCCAAATATTACCACTGTTTACAAGAATTTTTAATGAGAAAATTCAGCATTATGCTTTCAATCCGTTTTCTTTATTCTAGGTAATAATAATTAGACTACAAACTCAGAGCAAAGGCGAGGAAATGCCATCCGGTTAAACAGTAGAGGTTTTATGATTAATTGAGTCAGCTTTTCTGGGGTATCTTGAGATTGTACTGCATCAATTTGCATTGTTTTCTGACAAGGGAAGTCACTTAAATCACGGATCGATTTTGTAAAACTACTGCTACAGCGATGGGGAGGGTAGGACGGAGATACCAAATCTGAAAACCGCTACCTCCACCGGCCTCTGGGAGCCGAGATAATCGACCAAAAAGTTTGACCAAATTCGTCCGAACATTTCTTCCTTCCGAAAGAAGAAAAGCCAGCGAACTGAATGATCCGGTGGTCTGGAAGCGCGCTTCCGGGCCTTCACCTTTTCAGGTTCGAATCCGCGCGGGTCTCGAACTTGTGAAAAATTTATAAAACAGTTGATGTAATCCAGTAAATTTACTAGCAATTTATTTTTAGTTTATGCCTATTTTACGGTAAATTTTCAACCTGGAAAATTCAAATAGTTTGGAACTCGCATTCAAATTATTACTCTGAGATTTCGTAAAATATGTAAAAAATCAAAAATTTGATCTTACCGGTAAATTTACTGGATTACAAGAAAAGTTTAAAAAATTGTTTGACCCATGCGGATTCGAACCTGAAAAGGCCAAGGCCCGGAAGCGCGCTTCCAGACCACCGGACCATTCGGTTCTCTGCCCTCCTTCTTTCGGAACAGGGTACTTACTATTCGGAGCAACTTTTTTGGTCAAGCCTTTTTGGTCGATTATCTTGGCTCCCAGAGGCCGGTGGAGGTAGCGGTTTTCAGATTTGATATCTCCGTCCTACCTTCCCCATCGCAGTAACAGTCGTTTTTAAAAATCGATCCGTGACTTAAGTGACTTCCCTTGTGAGATTTTCAGTTACAAAGTTGAAAAATTTTCGAATATTGTAGTAACCACGAGAATTTTCGTATCTGACAGATTGCCAGTCCCGTTCAAGTGCTTTAAACGTGTTTCCTACAAGAATCCAGTCTTTTCTGACCATAATGCTAAGATTTCTGGTTAAAATGCCTTTTTTGTGACCGTCTCTCCTCATTTTCAATAGTCTCGCCGGCTGAATATTTTAATTTCTCTTTGAAAGAGCAAGCTGAAATTTGGAGCCCAAACAATCGGCTTATCAGACCTCGAGCTTTAACTACTTTAAGATTTCTATAATTCGGAAAGCTAAACCAATTTTCCCAAACAAAATTGTATATAAACTGCAGTTTTCCCCCTCCGTCAAGTGCATGTACTGTCCTTGAATTCCCTAACTTTTTCTTCGCAAAAACTACAAAGTATCAGCATAAATTATAGTATTTTTGTATAAAGTTCTCTCAGCTATCGTAAACCGGTTCCACGGATCAATTAATTTCATCAAAGATCATGCCAGAAACTTCTACCGTACTCTGCAATGCGTCAGAATTGTTTGTGGCAAAGTGCACGAGCCCTTAATCATCCTTCCGCATCGATTGCACTTTTTTTGGATATGTTATGTCTTTTTCTAAGTTCATTTGCGATCGCTGGGAAGTCTGAAAAAACAGGCTCAACATTGACTAATGTCTGCGTCTGGCTCCCAAGTTTTCCAGGCTTCAGAGCGATCGAAAATAGACTTAAAAACGACAACATATCCAAAAAAAGTGCAATCGC